GTTGAGGTAAGAACCTGTGGTGGTACCTACATTGTCTGTGTCTTATATTCACGCCTGTCTTTGAACTCACCATCATTGTTTCTTATCTAACCTCACAGCAGACATTCTCGGTCTCTGAACGCAGCGAGCAGCAGGTCCGTTTCCTGTGTGCCGGGGGAAGTGGTGTTTGGACATCCTGCAGACTCGACCCGATCCTCAGACTGTTTGATTGGTCCACAGGACGGCCGCTACAGGAAGTCGATTTTACTGCTTTGGTCACTAAAACTTTAGGTGCTAAAACTGTACCTTTTTTTTTTTTCTTCTTATACATCCATTTAAATATAATGCATGTACTGTCCTGGAATATAGAATATTGCAGTATGTTTTAGCATAATGTATTTATTTCCTATATGTTAGCAAACACAGTTTTAGATCATAACAGCAATGCTCACACGTATGTTAGTCCTGAGCTGGAAAGTAGTGGTATTTGTGAACATTTCCTTCACATTTTTTAAAGTTTTATAATTGATTTTCTCAGCATCTTTAAGAGTATGCACTATGCACACATTCTTCTGTAGGTGTGTCCCAGGAGTTCAGTATCAAACTAACAAAAAGTAAACTTGCTAAACATTCTGGAAAGAGAAATTATTAGAAAATAAACCTGGCTCAATGGACCACAATACTATATTTATAATGTGTTCATGCATACATTTATTTTTTGTTTTGTGTCAGGCAGCTTTGTGTTGTCCCTGCGGCTCACATGCTTCTGTCTCCCTCTGCAGGCCAAGCCTTCCTGACCCTCTCACCTCTCCAGATCTCGTCTCTAGCTGTCATCTCTGGCCGCCTGTGGGTGGGCACAGGAGGGGGTGCAATTTTCACCATCCCATTATCAATAAGTACGTTTTATTTAGATTTAAGAGTATAGTTCTTGAATTATAATTGTCAGAAATGTGCTTCATTGAGTAGTAACTATATCAATGCTTGTCTACAGCATCAGAAGCAGTTTCCATCCCATATTGCTCCATTTCATCAGCCCAGCTGTGTTACCATGGACATAGACAAGCTGTCAGGTTCATCATTGCTGCACCAAGTAAGATTTGTCTCAAACACATTTTTCTACAACATATATATTCAGGGTGTTGTAATGACGTCTTTGCCCCGCAGGTTGTCTGATCATCCCTCCTGGCAGCACCACCATCACAAACTCTCAGCTTATCATCAGCGGAGGAGAGGGCCACATCAACTTCCGCCTTGGTGAGTTTATTAATGGAATGACCAGATGATTATTCAAAATAAAAAAATGTCTTTCATGCCTCAACTGTGAAAAAAAACAACAATAAATTAGAAAATTCTTGATTAAATTAATTACATATGTGTTTAGTTTCCACAAAACTGTATCAAATCTATAAATTCTCACAAGTCGTGCAGTATAATCCAGGTCTCATTTATCCAATTGTATCTACTTCCCTAACAACTTTGCGCTAAGACCTTGCCAAATAAAACACTTTCACACAAACAGTCTCCCACCGGAGCAGGTGCCGGCTTCTTCAATGTGAGAAGTGTATGCAGAATTATGGAGGCATTAGAGAAAATCTCAGTTTTCTTCACATATTCAAGCGTAACAAAGGGTTAATATATTGATATAAAAATGAAAAGAAAATTGGGGGTATAAGTGTTAATGGAAGTGTCCTTTATTTACAGTTTAGTCAGTGTTTACTTTATGTAATACCTACCTGAGCTGTCAACTTTTACAGGGGACGATGCAAGTGAGGAATCGGAAGATTTGCCCAAAACTACACCTCAGCGGTCTGAACGCAGTCAGATGATCATCTGGCAGAATACCACCCCCTCTGTGCCCAGCCCTGCCCTCTGACACTGATCATCTCAAAGTGCTGCCCTTTTGTGATGAGATATGGACGGAGAAGACACTTACTGTACACCAGCAAAGCTAGAGAGATCATTGAAAATGGTGCTTTCATGGAACTGAATGAACCATCGTCTCAATGAGGCAGCAATGTAAACATCCTCTAGAAAATATTTATATATGATTGATGCTGTTTCATCCTTGTTTACCTCATTCATGTTGTACATCTATCTTTTGACTGGATTATTCTGATGAGTGTTGAAGCCTTATGTTTGTCTTCTCTGATTTTATAAAATGTCCGTCAAACTAGTCAGTAATCAGCTGCCTGATTAATAGCTGATTTTTACATTTGCACTAACAATACGTTGTGTTTCCCTGACGAATAGCTTTCATCCATTTGCCTGCCATGCTGAGCTGTCATTCACATCTGCATATATGTATATATCCTACATATATGGATCATAAAGTTAAACTTAACAAGGTGGCTGCTCTCGTGTTAACTGGAAACAGGTATTGATCTTCTCTCAGCATAAGACAATCAGACACTTATCTCTGGAGGCTGTATTGCATATGGTGTAAAACTTCTTTGATTGTGATTAGTTTTTTGGCTTTTCTTTTCAAACTTCAACCCCTCCTTGTATGTTATGGTGCATTAACAAACAACTGCACATTCTAAATGTCTGTATGTGTTATCAAGTATTCTAATTGAACAATTACAGCGCTTGTCTTAGAAATTATTTATTTTCCGAACGAGTACTATGCCTTATGTATTCAAATGTCTTTATTTGTTTTCTGTTTAAATTTGATTTCAGTACTTTGTAAAATAAGGGAGATTATTCTTTCAGGTGTCCTATGCAGTATTTATGTGCAATCACGAGTTTGTGCCGTAATGTTGATGTCTAAGCATCTCCTTGTCTTTCTTGGAAAGAAAAATAAGGCAAGAGTATTCCTTCTGACTCAACTGTGTGCAATCATGATTATTGTCATTAAAAAAAAAAAGGCCTTCAATGGTTAATGGAGTAACTTTTATTCTGGGATGTTTTGCTATAAACTGGTGCAGCATCTAAAAGTAAGCTCAAAGGGTGAATGAACAACAAAATAAATAGAGAAGATGAATCGTTTACATTACAGCCAGCAGGGAAGTCCACGATATACATTCAAGACGAGAGGATACGAATTACAGTTTCTTTGTCATGTGAACAAGGTGTTTGTTATCACAAGAGGCGTGTTTGTGAAGAGAGCCACAACAGCAGTGGCACTCCTTTGCCTCTGGCAGCTTGGCCTGCTGCCTGGTGAGGGACAGCCCTCTTTGTAACAGTCAGTCAGTCTGTTGATATCTTTGGGCTCCGCTTCCTAAGTTGGGCCGCTTCCTAAGTCCTGGGGATCCGTATCTTGCGGCTCAGGGAACGTGCGAGGCGGTCCATAGCTCCACCAACAGAGCTCCCCAACTCCTTTCTGGAGGTCAGACCCTCAATGTTGCCGCTGTACCACATGACCCAGCCTGCCAGGGAAAAGAGCACCAGCAGGGCCCCTGTGTACACCAGCAGATCCCCAAAGTCTCGACCTTGGATCTCTAGTGGGGCGAAGACCCCCAGCAGCAGGGATATCACACCCAGCAGGTCCATGAGCACTGCGAACACCAGGGCCAGTTTACAGTGAGACAAGCCGTCATATTTTGGTGCCATGGCTGCACGGAAAAAGAGAGGGGGGGATGTTGCAGTTCAGTTTAATAACAAAAACAGGGGCATACTATAAAATGAGTCATGGCATTTACCAATTGATTACCTAGAAACAAAATGATTATTGTCAATGATATTTTGATTAACATAAAGCAATGATAAAATAATTTTTATGATAAATGCTAACTCTTTAAAAGGTTGTTTGACATACCCTTGATTAAAAACATTTGCAACAAAAACGTTCACGAATCAAAAAGCAGAACACATTTTGTAGAATACACAGTACACCTGTAATGCATGCATTTTTGTATTTATGGTAATTTGATATACACTCTAAATGCTGTACATCTTTTGCAGTTTCATGTTTTGAGAAGTTACATTTGTGTTGTGGCTGTTGTTAATAATAGTAATATCTCAATGTTTTACTTTGTTTTAATCAATCAAGTAAATAGTGGATTGTCACTATTAACAAAAATGCCATGTAATTTGTGTTTAGTACAGGAAGTCTGACCCAACCTTCAAACTTGATCGTGTTCCCACTATTTTTTAACTAACGCAGCAACCTGAAAAAGTACATATAATTTGTAGCTACAATACTGCCTTCTGTTTCTTACATGTTAACCCGGCCCTGCAGAACAGGTGCCACACCTGTTCCGTATGTTTCAACGGACTTCTTTTATATGCAGGAGAACTTAACAACAGCGAACTATGGGATACACGAGTACACACATTTTTACGGCAAACTAAATCTCAAGCATAAAGTTACCTGTTTGCTGAGTATATGAGATTCAAACGCGATTACGATGGAATTCGTCCGTTTTGAACATCGTCTCTAGAAAAGCCACAGTAAATAATGAAACCTGACACTGCGTCACCTGCTCCACCTGCTCCACCTGTCTACCCGTCGAGGCTTAAAGGACAACATGCTGGTGCACATCTTGTGCTTTCTCAAACCTTAACGTTTCTATTTTTAGGTAACTATCACTGAACTGCAACTCACTTTTGTATTATTATAATTAGGCATTTTTGTATGATATGTATTGTCATCAGGCTTAACTTTGTTTACATTGTGTTGTCCAATGAGCCTACTACTGATAATGCATTTCTTTCAATATAGTTTGTAAACTTTCTGCTTCAACAAAAAATAAAAATAATGTTACATTTAAATAATAATCACATCAGCAAATTGCACCCGAATATGTAATTTCACTGCACACAATATTATTATTAATATTTTATCTATAAATTATTTATTTTCAGTTAAAAAAAACGTTGATTGAAATACTGCCATAAGAAATAATGAACTTTAATAACAAAGCCTCTTTATGACTTTTTTAATGCGTTTGTAAAGAAAGGTCATTCATTTGTAGTACCCCTCACTGCAGTGCGCAGTACCTCAAGCCACTCCTTCTCAACCTTTGAGGCACGTGACTAACGGCGCCTCCTTCTCAACCCAGTGAGGGGCTTCTCATTAATTTAGTTACATCCGGAAATGACGCGTTTGTTGAAAAAATAAAAGAGCGATAATCGTTATTGTTAGCTAGCAGGCGAACTGGTGAATGGTGATATGACAGAGTAATAACGTCCTATTACAAGTGCACGATAGAGTTATTACAAACGTAAAGTGGTATGTACCAATTCCTGCACATTATATCGATAGCAATGCGATTGTAGTAATGTATAAATAACGGAATGAAACACTAAAGTGTGCAGAAAGGATGTTTATTGTATTTTTATTTTCGGAGCTAAATTCTTGCTAACGTTCATCCAGGCTAACGTTGCTGGGAGCTAAGTGTAACGTCAACTCGCTTCCATATTGTGAGAGCACAGTCTGACCACTACAAACTCACCTGTGTGTAATACATTACGTTTTAAGCAATAAGCGTAGATGACCAGAAAATTAGCTTTGGTTTGCTGGATATCTATTATTGCTTGACAACGACAGAACCCGTAATGAAAGCTGGTCAATGGTACCTATTTATAAAAACATTGACCTATATTAATGCAACGATGTCATGTGTTTGGTGCATAAGTGTGAAATGTCCCAGTGAGTTATTAAGTGGTGATATTTCTTTTAAAGCCATAAACTAATCAAACATACTTCACGTTGTCTGTTGTTTGAGATGGAGGACGGAAACAGGACTGATGCTGCCTCCACATCTAAAAGCCATGCAGGCTCTCTCCACCTGCAGAGTAAGGTTTTAAAAACTGCAAATAATATTAGATGTTCTACTTTTAAGTCATGCATTTATATATTGTGCATAATTCCTCTTGTTCAGCTCCAAAAAATGAAGAAACCTATGAAATTGTCATCCCCTATGAAGAAAACTCCTTTGAGCAGCAAGGATTTTTCAATCAGAGTGAACAGACTTTTGATGGTAAATGTCAGAATCCCTATTATAAAATTCCCTTTTATCTGTAAGATATTTTTAAGCTTTACACAAAGCTTCCTGTTACAGTATTTCCTAAACAATCCTGTCTGTCCTCAGAGTCACCCCCATCTGCTGGCCCATCCCAAGTAAACAACTTATACATGGTGATCACCAACCTGCGGACCCAGCTACAGATCTCTCTAGAGAAAAACTCCTGGATGCAGAAAAGAATTGAGGACTTGGAAGAGGAGAGGGACTTCCTCCGTTGCCAGCTGGACCGCTTTATATTTTCCACAAAGAGCCAGGAGCAGAGTCAGAGCCAGTACAGTAACGGTGAGAACAGGGATAGGTGTGAGATGTAACTTTTGGATGGCTAGTCTCTAAGGAAGAAAAGCTAAATCTCAGCTTTTGGTATTTGTCTCACTTTAGGTTATGACTCCAGACGATTCAACTGGAGAGTAAGAAGAGAGGAAGATCGCCGTGTTGGTAAAAAAAATATTTATTTAATTTCTTAGTAAAAAATTAAAACACTGATGTGAATGTATTATCTTTTTGCAAATTGCACATTTTCAATCATTACTACTCCTTTTTTTCATAGAGCAACAGAAGCCTCAAGAGTCTCAGCATTTCTCCTCACGGCAGTCTATACAACGAAGGCCTGGTCCTCCAACCATGGTGCCTTCCAAAAATCCTGTCTCCTGTCCACTAACCAATCAGCTTGTCTCTTTAAATGCTTTGTTTAACTCTACCCAGTCCCAGGCCCTCTTGCAGGGCCATAGCCACAGTACTCCCAATGCCACAGCCAGTGGCAGCAGCGGCAACCATAACAGTGCTGCAAGGTCACCCATGAATGAAATGAGTGGACATAGTAACTTAGGTCCAGGTAATACAACTGCTTCCCATACACTTGATTGATCTATAGAGATGTTGCTTGTGGCTTTTATCTTTGGAATTTTGCTAACGAATGTTTTTTAATGTTCTCATCAGATTCAATTTCCCTCTTCGGAGAATCTGATGAGTACTTGGAGCAGAGTGGGTACCTCGACGAGGAGGAAATGATATCAGCGGAAGATTTAATGCAAGGTACCATTAACAACAAAGGACACCTATTGAAGAGAAGGCGGGTCTTCCGAGCCCCAACAGAGCGGCAGAGAGGTAAAAGAAACATCCTGCATCAAAACTCATTACTTAACGACAGACTGTCAACTGTTGTTGCTCACTCTCTCTTTTATATTGTTGTTCTTCAGTGAAAGATGCTGCTGGAGTGCTGTTTCGCTACAAGAAGATCCTGCTTACATACCAGCGTCTGAAAAACATGTCGAAAGCCTTCCAAATCCATGGTGTGGACCGCAACACGGTGGCTTCCACTACACCCATTGCTGAGATGCTACTTGTGGCCCCAGAGAAGGTGGCAGAGCTGGGCGAGTTTGACCCATCCAAGGAGAAGCTTCTGGACTATGCCCGGCGCTGCTACACTGTTCTGGATGAGGAGACACTTAGCAGGGTGCAGGCCCTGAAGAAGAATAACCTGCTCCTGCCTATCTCCTACAGGTTTAGACACTGATGAGAGAAAGACAGCAGAACGGGAAATCTTTCTAGAAAACATGGAAAGTTTGGAGAGAATAGACAGTTAGGTTCTGCTGCAGCAGGCCAGCTCACCTCCGTCCTTTCCAATATACGGTTTACAATGGTTTATGTGTGAACAGAAAGGTGTCTTAACTATTGGGATAATAAAGGGGATTTCCTTCCTTCAGTGCTTAAATGTGTAACCAACTTAGCTTGTTAATGTTTTAGCCTCAACATTTGCCAAGACAATGACATTTATTCACTGAACATCTGGATCAGTTTGTGGCCAGTAGACGAATAATGTATTGTCTAGAGATCATTTGAGCTCCTGATAGTCTAAAAGATGTATGAGCCTTGTGTCACTGACTTTATTTGTGTGCACAATCCTTAAAATAGTGTAGCTTGTATTCACAATGTCTGTTTATGTTAAAACAATGCTGCACTCAATAGATTTTGTAGGAATACACAAGATGTCATATTTTCCTTTTGTTAATATTTCTCTTTTTGTCTGTGCTTTATTATTTTTGGCATTGAAATGATATCTTCAACCATTTTCTATTGCCTTAATGGGATTTCATGATTTAAGACATGCAACACTTTTGGGTCACTTTTCTTTCCTGAACAGCAACTGAGTTTGAATTGGGGAGTTATTTTGTTTTTCTGTTCCTTTCCATGTATCCTGTTGTAAAGGAGGAGAACAAATGACATTAGAAAGAGAAAGAAGTAAAAATGTACTGACTGTAGTAAAGACTAGTCCACCATTATTTGGTGCAATAATTTGGTGCTGTCACCAGACAGAGCCTTCTCCGTTGCTGCCCCCTCCCTCTGGAACTCACTCCCCCAACCCATCAGAGACTGCACTGACCTCACCACCTTCAAAAAACTCACCTCTTCAATCTGGCTTTTAATGTGTGATTGTTTTTGTATTATTTGACTTTAACTTTAACTATATATTTATTTGTTGTTCCTTCCTTTTCTTTTCCCTTCACCATATCTGTAAAGCGTCTTTGAGCACCTGTAAAAGCGCTAACAAATTAAATCTATTATTATTATTCGTTTTTTGACAGAAAAATACTAGAAGCAACAATTTGTACTGTTTGTTCTGTTATAAAATATGAGGAGTTGAGAATATATTCCTAACATTTTATAAACCGAGTTTGCGTTAATAATAGTAATGTCAATAAATCGGATTAACAGCAATGGAAATGATTGTATTACATAATTTGTTTCAGACGCCCGATCCAAGGTTAGGGGTTTAAATGCAAAATAAACATTTATTCCACTTTAAATAACATATCTTGAGCGGACTATGATGAAACCTAACGTAGATGTGAAAAGAATAAAAAGGGAACATTTTCACTCAATCTTCTGTGTTCTTATAATACATCCAGGCGTTAAGGTTAAAGGATGGGGTCTTTTTCACTAACCGGAAACCTGTAATTCATCAACTTCCGGTGTCACGGAGTGCCTGGGAGACGGAGCAAAAAAGCGGGCATACCGAAAGCGTTTTTGTTTTCAACATTTAAATGGGCAACATTTGACTCATATAGCCAAACAACCGCGGCTTGTGGACCAGTTCCCCCTCTGGACTTTGCATCTGGCTTGAAAAATAATCATTCATTCGTGTTTCGTCCTAGCTAACGAGCTCCACACGAGCAGGCCTATTCTTCTGGACTTTGCTACAAGCTAGTTAGCTAACGTTAGCAGGCTAACCCATGCGAGCACGTTTTCTTTCTCAATGATTCTGTCTGTTACGTTGTAAATAAATACCACACAGCTTATGCGTGTGCTTGGTAACTTGTTTTGGTAGTTGTATTGTTAAGTAGGCTGCTCGTTAAAGCACATTTACGTTAGCTACCTCAGCGAGGCGCTTGCTTTTATAGTGTTGTTCACTTTGTTGCTAGCTTAAGCTAGCCACCGCTAACTGAACAACGCAGTCGCCGAAAGCGCATCAGCCTTCAACTCACAGAGATGTCGGACTTCGACGAATTTGAAAGGCAGCTTTCTGAAAACAAACAAGGTAAATAAACCAATTGCACATCAGACATCGGAAATGGTAGTGGTCCGTTTGATTGTAATCGCCACTATCGTTTAAGCTAACCATGGACCTGTCTATTTACTGGAACGTTAAGCTAAATGATTAGCCCACACTCACGAACCATTTGAGATGTGGTGTAACTGTTACATTTACTGTTGCTCATCAGATACTATTCTCGATCATGTTTGACGATGTCGAAACACGTTAGGCCGATTTATAATCCGAATAACGGTAGCTGGATTGTCTCTTCTTAGGTTAACGGGCTTTGTTTCTTTAAGCCTGGGGCAGTCTATATCCTGGTACTCTACTGCCTGTACCAGCTGACTGGATGTCCGGGTGGCTAGCATTCATCCTTTGCAGCTGTTGCGTCCAACGAAGATTTCTAGTGCACTTTGCCGTACTATTGCCCTCCTCTTTCTAACACACCGCCTGTAACTCCACTACCCTAATTTTACTTTGATATCGTTAACCCAGATATGCAAACACACTCTGTACACTGCTCCTAGGTATCGGACAACGCTACCCTACGAGTTCGCCATATTACACATTGTGTCACTTTGAACCAAAAGGTCATAATACATTTGTGTTTCCGATTTTAAACAGACTGGATACACTGCATTCAATTGTAACTTTTTAACATACCACTACCATGAAAGCTGTTTTCCTGTACTTGATACCATAATCCAACTTTATTATTACCACGTGAACTAGGATGTTGTTGGACAGATTCATACTCAGCAGTGTTGCTCATTGCCTGTCTAATTTTCATCTAAGGTGATGTATTCTCAGACTCTTTGACCGGTAAGCTATGAAAATAAGTATCTAAGTATTGCTAAGATTTCATTGGACCATTGACTAGCTGTGTATTGTATTTTATTCATACTCTGCAAGTAAACTTTCAATTTATTCCTGCAGCTGAAAGGGACAAAGAGAACCGCCACCACCGCCGGTCTTCCTCTCGTAGCCGAAGCAGAGAGAGGAAAAGGAGGAGCAGAGACAGGGATAGACGCAGCAGGGACCGCCGTGGGGAAAGTAAGGAGGAGCGCAGACACAGGCGCAGGTGAGTACCTTTTTTCACAACTACACCCAGAACAAAAAAAGGCTAAAGGCTACACGTTATTGGAGGGGCACCTCCATGTTTTTGTAACTAGAGATTTTTTAATCATGACCACCACAAATATCCTCCTGATACTAATTTGTTTTTAAATGCCCTACAAACAGGAGGTCATAAAGATCTACATATTTAAAGCCATTTTTTCCCCAGTTGGATCGAATTGTTTAGATTTAACATTTAGTTTCATCATAAAATATTTGTTGCTCGAAATACTTGACTAATTTCTTTACAGGGATTGTATAAAGACGAATGAGGAGTTGCACATTTGGTGTGCTGGTAACACTTCTTGCTGCTTCACAGAATGTTTTGTTTGTAAGCACCCTGGAATTTTCTGAAAAAGACTTCCACAATGTGTTGAGATTAAACACCTTCACTTGCTCTCAGCTTGCGTTTTGGGGGTTGACCTGGTCTCATTAACAGATACCATTCTGGGCAACAGTGCACACTTGTTAAGCTTGACAGTTGTCTACAGCAAATTGTGGCTGTAAAATGTAGAAGTAGGTCAGTGATTCATTAAGACTGAGTTTAAATAAGCTAGTTGGTCTCTCCTGAAAATCAACTGCACTTATTCTATCAAATATTCTTATTATTTCACTCGTGGATTGACTTTCATGTACTCTATTTTTGGCGTTGTTATTTTTGCGTTCTCTGTCACAGCTGCCTATGACATTGGAGCAATTTGCCTCAAGCTTAATGGAACATCTCTTGCATGCACAATAAGGGGCTGCTGCAACCTCTTTTATATACGTAATCATTTAATATAGACCATATCAAGACGAAGTCATAAATGATTTCATGAAGAATTTCAGATCCTTCCTAGAATACAAAAATGCACAGGCTATTAACAGAATGTATTTATGAATTCTGGTCTGGCAGTACATGTCTTGGAAACATCCAGCATGCAGTTAGTGTGAGAGTGCCCTGTGAAGAGCCGGAGCTGTATTGTTTGATAGAATCTGTTTCGACCCTTCGATGTGGGAACAGTTTTCTACAGGGGCAAGTCCCTCCCAGAACACTGCCCAAAAGGTGATTACCAGCTACCAATGTGACAATCCTGTATATTCTCAGCAAAACGCACCTTTGGACACCCAACACCTGCAACCTTTGGAAATGATTAGATGTGTTGAGAACCATATCTTGTAAAAAAAAAAAATGCTTACATCTTTGGTCATTGTTAGAAATGGATTGGTTAATGAGTTTGTGTAAGGCAGGTTAATAGGACATTTGAAACCATAGATTACCTTAGTAACTATTTGAATACATTCTCTCTAATGTAGACTTTTGTGAACGCTCTACTTGTTGGCTGTGAGTGTGACCTCTGGCCCCACTGTTGCTCCTCGTCACTTAGTGCTAATTTAAAACAAGTAGCTGGTGTTCACTCGGTTGGGAGCGGATGAAAATCTGAGCCCTCAACTTTGCAGCTGTTGTGTATTTCTGAGGATATAGTTTCTGCTTTCATTGCATCATTAGTTGTTCACGAATGGTGTTACATATCTTGCGTGAGACTCACTGAATGCACCGGCTTGACATCTGAACGTCAGGATTTTTGCGCTTTTAATGCAGATCGCCAAAGGCTCGTAACAGCGTTTGTATTTGGAGAGGGTCATAGAAATGCAGGTTCTAATTTTCAATGTCATTTCAGCTCACCAGCCAGCTTCCCTGTGGACAATGCTGGAAGGTAATACAGCAAACTAACACAAAGCCGGTTTGTGCAATATTGCAACAACTGCAATTGAATGACCTGCCTCTGATTCTCTGTATTGAGTAACTATCTGCCTGGATGAGGATTTGTGTCACTTATTTTCCCTTTACCACAAGGTGCTCTAATATTAAATTGATGCAACCTCCAAAAGAGTTACTAGATGTTATATTGTTGTATATTTTTAGAAGACATGACCCATCGTCTGGTCTGCTAGTTTACTGCTGAGCTAATGAGGGACGTCTGTTACATGTTGATTGTTTTCCAACAGCCGTTCTCCACACCGCGAGGTGCCGGCAAAGAAGAAGAACAAGGTTAAAAAGTACTGGGATGTCCCTCCACCGGGTTTTGAACACATCACTCCCATGCAGTACAAAGCCATGCAAGGTAAGCCTCCTAGTTTTCTTTTTGTGTTCGATGCATTTTCAATAGGCATGCTAGTTTCAGGTTTGATTGAACGTTTTATTTTGTTGTTGCACTACATTGGTTATTTCATCCATACCTTACTTTAGCAAACTGCTAATAAATTAGCACGTCAAGATACTGTTTGATGGGAGTTACAAATAATAATACTTCCTTTTGGCTTTGCCCTCTAGCTGCAGGCCAGATCCCAGCCACAGCCCTCCTGCCCACCATGACTCCAGATGGCCTGGCTGTGACCCCCACCCCGGTGCCTGTAGTGGGCAGCCAGATGACCCGGCAGGCCCGCCGGCTCTACGTGGGTAACATCCCATTTGGAATCACAGAGGTAAGGAACAGGACAACATTTGGCTTTTAAGTCATCCAACCTGTTAGAGTTCTTAATGCAAATACTTAATATATGTGTTGGTAATAATTTCACCACAAAATTGAAAAAAGTGTCCCCTTCATACCCTGTCTCTGTTTTGTGTAGGAGTCCATGATGGACTTCTTCAATGCCCAGATGCGTTTGGGTGGTCTTACTCAGGCCCCTGGAAACCCTGTGCTTGCAGTACAGATCAACCAGGATAAGAACTTTGCCTTCCTTGAGGTGAATTGATCAGACCCCTAACATGTCATTTGTTCTTCCAGGGTGTTTCTTGCAATTTTGACTTTAATCACTTAATTTTGTCTGTTAGTTCCGTTCAGTGGACGAAACTACACAGGCAATGGCCTTTGATGGCATCATCTTTCAAGGCCAGAGTCTCAAGATCCGTCGTCCACATGATTACCAACCTCTACCCGGCATGAGCGAGAACCCCAGTGTCTATGTGCCTGGTACTCAGCCAATTAATGGTTTTTAACCCTAAGTACTTGTGGCATATTTCATGAGTAATCCGTAACCAATACCTCACGGGAGCGTGCTCTCTGTGCTTCCCTTTTGATATTTCTTACTGTTGCCATCGTGTGTTCTTCAGGTGTCGTTTCCACAGTTGTTCCTGACTCAGCCCACAAGCTCTTCATTGGAGGTTTGCCCAACTACTTGAACGATGACCAGGTTAGTATTTCAGCGTGAAATGGCTGCAGACACAATTCCCAAACCATATTAAATACCCTTACCATAGCTTTTAGTAGAACATTCCTACACATTATACTTTGAGTAAACTCTTCCTTTTGTGTCTCAGGTGAAGGAGCTCTTGACATCCTTTGGTCCCCTGAAGGCTTTCAACCTGGTGAAGGACAGTGCTACAGGCTTATCTAAAGGATATGCGTTTTGTGAATATGTTGATGTCAACCTTAATGACCAGGTAACCCATGCTACTGGCAACTTCACACTTAGACATGGTCCAGAGTCTACTTTAATTATTATTGTATTATTTAGTATTGTAGTTATTTGAGACTCTTAAAGATTGGAATTTTAATTTAAAAACAATTCTTCTTTTTTTTACAGGCTATTGCTGGGCTGAACGGCATGCAGCTGGGAGACAAGAAGCTCCTGGTGCAGAGAGCCAGCGTGGGATCCAAGAACGCCACTCTAGTGAGTATTCAAAGCCTGGACAGAGGACAGCAGGGTGGTGGGAGGCTGGCTGCTCTTTTAGAGTCGCTCAAATGGATAATGATTACATTTTCTGTACAAATATATCTGCCACATCCAGGCCCACTGCAAACGGGTCATTCCATCGAAATTCATCACTTTCTGAAGACACATTTTCCCTAAATTTTAAACTGTGTAAGAAAGCAACAGATCTTATCCATTCCAAAGCTGCCAGTATGTACTTCAGCTGCTAAAAATGGTTGTGCAAGCAGTAAGTTACAAATAACAACCTGATAATCGAAACGGCATTTAGCTGGATAAAAAGCAGTTGGGAAAATATACGTTTTATGTGGTTGGTTCACTGGAACTACCAAACATAATTTCTTGGTTTAAGTGGTACCTAGGGGTTAACATTACCAAAAGTGTCTAGAGATAAGTGAGAAACAGAGTTGTCCATAATGTGAACCAGCACTGCAACGTTTTTCTTAAAACTGGCAGCAACCTTCTCTATAAAGGACATATCTTCATTTTCACCTCTGTTTTGGTCGATTAGGTCCTACATTGAATGCCATTGAAGATGTCTTGTGGATAGTCATAATACTCTGAGCACGTTGTTATCTAAAATATGCCATTGACCCTGTCCTAACCTTCCTGTCTGTCCTTGCAGACGAGTATAAATCAGACCCCAGTGACGCTGCAGGTGCCGGGTATGAACAGCTCGGTGACTCAGATGGGGGGCCTGCCCACCGAGGTGCTGTGTCTGATGAACATGGTGGCCGCCGAGGAGCTGCTGGATGATGACGAGTATGAGGAGATCGTGGAGGACGTCAAGGACGAGTGCAGCAAGTACGGTCAGGTCAAGAGCATCGAGATCCCCCGACCTGTGGACGGCCTGGAGGTGCCCGGCACCGGCAAGGTAGGGACCGTTCCATTGCTTTCCATCATCTTTGATGTGTGCTGTTGTCACACAAGAATGATGTCTTGATATACCCTTATTGTATTGGTTTCTTTGTCCCTCTCTTGTAGATCTTTGTGGAGTTCATGTCCGTTTTTGACTCCCAGAAGGCCATGCAGGGGCTGACGGGAAGGAAGTTTGCCAACAGGGTGGTGGTGACCAAATACTGCGATCCAGATGCTTATCACCGCCGAGACTTCTGGTAGAGGAGCCATGAAGAGAAGAGGGGACGGGGGGGTGGGAGGGGAGGGAACATGAATTGCCCATCTAGAAGTCAGCCCCCTGATTGAGAGCAACATTTCAGGTGGATCTGAGAGTACTTATCCAATATCCAATTCATCGTTTGAGATCTTCAAAATTGGGAGGGTCTCTATTCAGTCCATACCAGAGGGGGCTAGGTTTAGGTGGGTGAGGGAGTCAAAAAGATTTTTGCAAAATGTGTGTAATAATGGGTCCAGGGAGGGGTCAACGATTTTTATACTTTGTGAGGATGTTATTTTGGGGTGGGAGGGGGGAGCCACACTCTAAGGTTTGTATTTAAATGGAGGTAGCCTGTTTTAAGTACATTAGGAAGGAGTTGCAGCGGGGAACCAACTGGACTATTCCGGTGGAGAGAGGGATGGAGAAAACAGGAGTGTTACTTTGAGTGGGGGAGATGAGGGCATTTTAGTTTGACATCTAATCTAGATATACAGTAGCTGAAACATCCACTTCTGTTTCCCCACCATCATTAGTGAGGCGAGAGAAAACATTTTATTTCTATATTTGGACTATATTTCTTCATGTTCCTTTATTTTCATCAGACTACTGCCCCCTCAGAATGATTGGTTGAGAATATGTTGTCTAATTGGACTCTATCTGAATGTCAACTGTAATCGTTTCAATACTGTGTGTAGCTTCACTGATATGAGCTGTAATATCACATTGTGTTCAGGCTGCAGAATAACACGAGCTGCAGGAAAGTACTTTTTTTCAATTATGCCAGTTTTATTTTTTCCTGTAACTTTTTCACGTCCGTCTTTAGTACACAGCTTTTAACAGATGAGGTTGCATTGTCTCAGCGGTTCAGTCCTGATTTAATTAAAAGTGGACAATTGAAGGAAGATGAGGATTGACAACAGATTGGTGTTTAATAGGGGATTGATCTCTTCCTTACCAAAAAGCCTTAATGTTATTACATGTCAATTTGCTAAAGAAAACTAATTAGGCTTACCCCTCTTTCAATGATGTCTGTGTTTATAAATGTCACTATCTTGTATCACTCGTTTTCATTTTTCCTTGTTTGGCAGCAGGTTTACGTTGTAAGATGTGTCGGACCCGGTTGTTTGTTTGTGCAACGTCTCACCTCTTTGACAAGACCAAATAAACACGTGTCTAATACCCACGACTCATGGAGTGAACGCAAAAACAACCAACTTTTCTTTGTTCCGTCAACTTCCCTCCTGATGCATTGGTAGGCAGTGATATGGTCCGAACCAAATATTGAAACTGAAATTAAAAGGTCTTGTTTTGGATGTTTATGCTCTGTAAAGACTAATTACAAAAGGAAAGCCTGCAGACAAATAATTACTATTATACATCTACATTTTAATAAACAATCATTTAGCTTTCATGGCTTTTGTATGTTACTGTCGTAGAGGGGTTTCTTTCTCTAAATGTAAGAGGTAGATTGGATGTTGAAAACTTGTATTTGGTCATAGACTGCTTTTCTCTCATCTCCCTCATCTTCTGCCCTAATTCTCCGAGGACCACATGTTCACACTGTAATGGCTGAGACTGCTTTCATTTAGGTGGTTAAGACGTTACTGAGAAGAAAGTGTGTCAGTGATAAGACTTATGTTACTCCTTACTTTCAGATATCTTCTTTCTCAGTGTCGCTGTCATTTAATTTCTTTTTTTTTCTCTGGAAAAAAATGTGATTTCTTAAATGATTTCAAAACATCTAGTTTATAAAAATCAAAAACAGTCTTTCATTTGTCCAATTTGTTTTCAAATGTTGATTAAAAACTGAATTTACATGATGGCTTTCTTCTTTATGCTTCCTCTCTTTTGTGCACCCACATCCACCCACCTGGCTACAGCACACGCGTATTCACCCAGCGAGGGATGCCGCTCACAGTTCATTATGGAGATGGATTAGACTGGAGCCATGTCCAGGCACTTTCACTCAACTGATGGCATAATTTATCAAGGACTACAGGCAATCCAGACAGAAGCAAACGATTCCTGGGGAAGTTTACATGTTCATGATTAAGATACACTATTGCCAGTCATAAGTCACACTTTGTATCTACCTAAACGGGTTGTGGGAAAGCGTGAAATGCTAGCAGTACAAACACAATTCCCATGCAATCTATTTTGTACCAATTATAGCCTGCTCTCTTTAGTGATACCAGCCGAGGATGGAAGACTGGTTCAATGGTGAACTGGTGAATGGTTCATGGAGATGAAGGTCGACAAGGCAGAAGTAGCAGATCACACTCCTGTGGCCAATCTTTGAGTTAAGGACCCCTTACATCATTAACATACAGGCACACAAAACCATAAAGGTTAAAACAATTTAGAAATAATTGTACTATATTATTTTCTCCTAATTATCCACGAAGTTTCATTTAGGGACCATTCCTACGTTAGTGCTGACTGCCCTTAATAGTGAAGATGTTAACACACGTAATAAATGTGTCTTATGTTGCATACCTTTTTTGATCAATGTGTGGATTGATTTTACAATGATATTTTAAAGAATATCATTGCTGTTTTTATTAAAATAAAAATATTCATTTAAAGTACAGAAAACACTTAAAATAACAGAGAATAAAAGAGTAATTCTGTCACATGACATGGGAGCTATTGAAAATAAATTTGACTTAACAAATATTGCATAATATCCATATAAAATAGAAAGTTGACTAACATCTTGTAAAAAAGGGTTGTGTCTCACTTGTCCAGTGTGGTAAAGTAATACAATACAGTGGACACACTGGGTCACATGGCATGGGAGCCTTTGAAAATAAATTAGAGTTTTTAATAAAGAAACAAATACATTTAATAACAATATTATTATTAAAAAGAAAACGGACTTGAATCCAAGGAAAATAGGTGTTTCCCTTTTGTCCAGTATTGTAATACAATGTTGTAATGTTTGGTAGTCATTTGGTAACATAACATATAAGCTATACAAAATAAATTGAAAAAATAACAGCATAATTTACATAAAGATATTCGTACACACAATAGCCTACTTCTCCATTATTATTATTATGTCATTTATTTGATTCAAGCCTACGCAAATAAATAAAACTCATGGTTACCCATGCAATTATATATAATTATGAATTGGAGCTGCTTGCAGTGTCGAATCCCACGTATAAATCAGGTAACGTTTTTTTTTCTGGGTGTACTTCTTTATATTCAAGTCAATCCACACGAGTACACAGTTTTGGACATCAGCAACAACTATAAGCCATGTCCACCTGGGACTGTATCTGAAAAACAGTAACAGTGAAGCAACAAATCTCTGACATGAAATAATGTCCTGTGTCAGCTCTATACTGCCCATCTCCACGTGCATCGCTGCACCCCACTGCACAGAAGCCAGCGGCAGTGCACTGATGCAACGCGCTCTCTCCCCCTGTTGTTCCCGCAGGGCTCAGATAAAACAGCAGCTCTCCCAGGCTGCTGAAGCCATATCCACCAGAGGAGACATGTAAAACTGACCCTGCCTCTCCAACAGATCAGGACGTTCAGGCTGCCAAAACACAAGACCGATTAAATGTTATTAGCAGCCCTCCCCAGGCCTGATGCTGCAGTGAAGATTGCACATACATTATCTCCCTCTAGTGGGGAATGTAAAACTGTAGCGGTGGTCATTGTCATTCTAGGCAGTGCCTCCCCATTGATCCTCATTCAGAAAGATAGAACACTGCAGCAGTGGGAGAGTGCATTGCTGGAGCAGGATGATGCAGTACTCTGTGTACTTATGGCAGTGTGCATTCAGCGTATAGATTAAAGTGAAATTGAGAATCATATGGAAAGGATTGTCAGGTTGAATGCAAAAAGGCCTTTTATTACAGAACATATTTTGACATGTCACAGTAAAGCGCAGGTATGCAAAATAAAATGAATGATGGCTAAATTCAATTTTGCTGCAATTGTTTCAAGGGGCTTGTATGGGCTCTTGCTGTTACTGGGACAATTTGAACAAACTAGAGCAACGGTTATAAGTCTATATCTATAAGTAACACCACATCCCATAAAAAACAACTGTGTGTGGCTCGCTGCTATGCCCTTTGTTTCTCTTGAAGAGGTACATCTTTACATACAGGTCAGATATATATTTATCATTGAAGAAAAAAATAATTCTTTAATAGCTGGTTCTTTGGTTTTTAGTCAATCGTAATTATAATGGAGTAAATTGCATAATTGTTGGGATTATTTTAAACAGCAGAGTTGGTGCATTTGAGTCCTGCATGTGGGATTGACTCAAAATAATCTACATGCCCATGTTGTTCAGTGTGGTTTATAAATGTATTTTCTAATATTCTTGGACATATTGTGCTTTAATCTGGCATGTAGTCAACATTAATGTTACAACGTTGGACTAATAAATAGTTGCAGCTGTAATGTGCACATGTGTGGTCAGTGTGCGCATGGCTGCATACATAAGCACACATGTGTGCCCTTCAGTGTGTTCAAGCATAAACTAGCACTGCTGACAGGGCCACTTGAGTGATGTGGAGACAAGATTGTTAGCATCAGCATACTGTAGATTATTGATGGCCTCAGACCGCCAGTGGACACTTTCTATCAATCTCATATGATGGGGCAGCAGAGATATGCTGCATAATTAGAAGCAAAGTCATTTTAAAGAATAGACACACATATGTTCGTTAAACTAATAGCTGTACCCCAGATGAATCCATTTATCATGGCTGTCATGACCAGCATGCTCCTTTCTCTCTGCGAAAGTCCATCTCTGTGGCTGCAACAACAATCTGTCCTAAAAGAAACAGGACGTCTTTTGTTTTGGACATTGTAGGTGTTTATTTTGCTGTCACAGCCTACAGCCTGTTTCGTCCCTTTTCTCAGATTTTCTCCTGTTCTGTCTCTCTGTTCCCGACTCACTCTCACTTTGCATCACCGCCCTCGCCACCCCTTTTCCTCTCGCCCCTTCCCCCCTTCCAGCCCTCCCTGAGCGTGGCTGGCCGCTGGGGTTGGCCTCCCTCTTGGTGTGCCACGTATGTAACCTAAACTGTGGAAGAGCCAAGCAGGGCCGGGCCACGAGTAAAGCTTTCCACAAGACCAGGGTGAGTCTCTGAAATCTCTCTGGATCTTGTTCAGTGAGGAAGGAAATGGGCATGCACATTTTCTATTTCTTCTCTAGTGTTTCATTTCTGCAAGATTATCCATATGTGCACCTAGTGTTTCTTTACCTTTATATCACTCTCTCAACGTTATTCTCCCATCTTCTGTCCTTTCCTGCACTTTTTTCCCTTTTCCATTTCTGTCCCTCCCTCTCTGCTGCCCTCCCCGTTTCACTTTCACTCTCTGTGTCAGATTTGCTCTTACCTCACACTTCTGTTGCTGTAAAACGCTATCCTGGCCCCTCTCGTATAAACACAGGCTCCTCCTTCAGCCTAACTTAATGTCATTAACAGGTGGCAGTCTAAAATAGACACTCACACAAACAGCGAGGCTGGCACAGATACATGTTTTTAATCATGGCTGTCGTCATGTGACCGGACCACACTGCAGCACCTCAGCTCATTCATTGAACATTCAAACATGTGTGGAGTGTGTGCAGGGTGCTGTTGAGATGGAAGGTACAGTCAGAGGGGAGAACAGCCGTGCAAACACACACATTTAGTGATCAACAGTGTTAACCAACCAGGCTACAGCCCCCTCCCCTGTTACACTTACTTTCCATAACCCTCATGTACCTCCCTCTCACTCTCTCACTTACTCTCCCATCACCACTCTCCCCCTCTATTAAGTTTCAAGCGTCTCTTCCTCCTGAACTGAACAACACACACCAAACAGGTCAGACTTATTCTTCTTTTTGCTCTAGTTGTTGCTTTCTTATGTACACATCTCACACAGGGGGCTGTGGCTGTCTTTGGTGAAACTCTGGAAAGAGTACCTAACTTTCCTCACTGAAAATGTACCCATTTGTCCCCAAGCCAGTGCACCGTATTTTTTTTTGTTGCATCATCAAATTTGACAAAACACACACATAGGCCTTTACACTGCTTAGGATGTTTTAGAACAACATGAACATGTGTGTGTTATCCCTCCAGTAGGTTCGCCTGCCATGCTTTGACCCCTTCGATCATCCCCGTGGTTAATTAGGATGTAATGTGATCGAGCTTTGTAACTCTATAACTACTAACTTGGCTGTCAGCAGCTGCCGTCTTATTCTTTATTACACTTAATGCTGGGGGAGTAATCACATGCACGGCTGTTATTCCAAAGCTTTGGCTCATTGAAGACCTTTGGATTTTTAAGATTAGCTCTTAATATTCAGAGATTATATCCCTCTCCAGTGCTCGCTTTAAATTAGGATCAGGTAACATATTTGTATTATTGTGAGTTGTGATTAATTTCTATCAATTAGATGTCAAAAATCCATTGTGTGATTGTTATGGAGCTTTTATTAGTATCACATGATCGATAGCAGATGGATTTTACTCTTTTAAATAGAGTGGGCATTTTCAAGTTCAACTGACATTATTAGTTGGTTATTATTAGCATTATTTATTATTATATATATAATATATTATTTATGTTTTCTTATTTACACATATGAATAATTTGGTTTGGTTGAATATAAAGTTAAACACAATGTATTGCTTTGAAAAATAGTCTATGTATGATAATGTATAATCCAAATGTATATACATAATTGTATGGCTGCTTCAACTCATTTTAAATTAATATGCACACATTTCTCTCAATAAGTATATCAGTCATTAATTTATAAAATGACAAACAATGTCTAAAAACGACTTCTAACAAGTTCCTAAAACAAAAGGTGTCTGGTTGTGGTCGGAAAACTGAAAGATCTTCTCTTCACAAAACAGAGAAAGAAACTAAAATCCAGCTATAACCTAGGATGGTCGGAGTTTGAATTCATAAGTGACTTTTATTGTAATTTAATTTACAGCAAAACTAAATGTATGCTGCATACTGCTCTTTATTTCTGAAAAGTATGGTACACATTACACAATAGATTTTGTCCACGCACTCAGAGGGTTCATGTGGTGCGCTCTGCGCTGCCTATATAAAAACTCTGATGCTGTCAGCGCAAACCCCCTGAATTAAGTGATCCACCAACTGTGTGTGGCCTCCTGGTGCTGCTCCCTAACTGGCCAGGCCTGTTGCCCCCACTACGTGACCTGTTGCACTGCACTGCACAGCAGAGTTAATTACTGCAGGCCCCTTTCTGTCAGAAGGTTCAGCCATGAATTATCACCTCTCATGCTCCCTGCGCAGAGCAGCCACATCGCTGGGCCCCGTCACTCACGTTTTAAACTGCTCCAAATGGCCCCCTCCCTCACAGTTTGGGATAACAGAAACAACTCCGCAAGCCTGGACCTACTTACAGTGCCACACAACAACAAAAAACACACACGCACACATGCTTGAAAAGACCGTCATGGAGGCAGATTCCAAGTGTTTTCTGGTACACGTAATGCGGGACGGGAGATATTTGTGGCAACCCATTATCCCCTCAGATCAAAATGAATCGGTGTCTAAGCCAGAGATAGTGTACCTGCTCGGAGAAGAGCTCTGTTGTCAACTGCTCTGGGAAATAGAAGATGGGGGGGTCCAGTCTGGCGCTGCGGTGTTATCTCTCACCTTGAACAGGTGTTGTGTCAAATGATGCACCCCCGTCATGAAATGCACCCCTTGACACGGGAACGCGCATTTTGCCTTTTTGATGGTTGGGTTGTCGAATCCTGGATTTTGCATTAATTTGTCACTTATTTTTCAGTTAATTTTTATTTAATATGTTTTTATTTAATTGTGACGTCCTGTCTGTATACTTTTGCTTGTACTTGTGCTTTACAATGTATTGTTTATTTTTACATAAAGTGCTTGAGGGTGGGATTAATAGAAACATTTTTATTTTGGGGGGTGCTTTTTATGAACAGCCTGGTTGCCACGATATGCACCCCTTGCTATCTCTGACAATACACGTGTCACATACATGAAACGTGCTCCATTTATTGGTACTAGTCCTACCACTATACCCTCCAAAGTGCTTGAGGGTGGGATTAATAGAAGCATCTTTTTTGGGGGATGCTTTTTACGGCAAGCCAGGGGGTGCATTTCACGACGGGGGTGCATAATTTGACACAACACCGACACCACCCGACACCACCCGACTCCACCGGCTCATCCAGCCCAATTGTTTCTTCATCAGAAACTAAATCTGCCTTTCAGGGAAACGCCATATGGCTTATGTATTGTTGGCTTGAAGCATGTCATATGGCTTTTAGGGAGGGAATACTGTAGACGCTGATAAAGCTCTTGGAAATTAAATATGACGCTGCTGATGAAAGCATTTTGCTCTTGTGAAGCATATGCTGGCTGCCCTTTCATCTTTCTGTTTCATCTCTCTATTTCAGGGGACTGGACGGAAAACAGTCGCCGGCTCTCCTGGTCTTTACATCCGTCTCCTCCCATTTTATAATTTCCTTAATTCATCTGCCCCTCACTTCCTTGTAGCACTGTTCATGGCTCTGTTCATATTTCTTTCTGTCTAATTCATTTTACTGTCCACTTATTATCTTTTTATCCTTTGTTCCCTCTGACCACTTTTGCTTAATTTACCCATCAATCACAGGATAGTTGATAGCTGTGTCTCCTCATTTTTTATATATTGCTTTAACACTTCCATCCTACTCCTTGTCCTTTTCCTGTTTTCTCCCTACTAAACCATCCTCCCATCTTTTCATCTATTATATTGCTCCCCTTATAATAAGCCCCCCCCCCCCTCCCCCTCCCCCCTTGTCTTCGTCGGGCCTGGCCAGTTGAGATCATCATGTGGTCCAACTTCATCGTACAGCCCGATGGTGATGATCGTATCGGGGTGGCCGGGACTTTACAAGGTGGAGGTTTAGCTGGAATAAAAGGTGGAAGGGGACAGGGAAGGAGGGTCCAGAAGATGAGTGACAGCCAGGAAGGAAAGATCAAGCTGGCCTTCTTTGTGGCTATCATTGGCGTGACCCTCACGGTGTTGGGCATGGGGACAGAGTTTTGGGTGGAGCTGGCACAACCAAAGAATTTCAGCGGCAACCAGACCTGCCAGATGGCATATTATGGCCTGTGGAAGGGCTGCATCCGCACCCTATTTGTGGCGGACATAGACCCAGACAGGGAGCTCTGCGGCCCCGCTGAACTAAATGGAGGTGAGACCCCTGGCTGGAGTGCAGTTGTGTGTCTGTGAGAGTTTGTGTTTATCTGTTTGTGCTGTCTAGGAGGTTAGCAGGTGAGGTTTCTGGAGGGCATGTGTCTACTTTGTTTCTCTGACTGTCTGCTCATGTCTGCCTCTCTGCAAACTGAATTGCCCGGCCATGCAATTCTACCTCAAGGCTGACTCCATGCTACAGTGTAAGAGTGAATTAATGGTAAAAGGGTCAAAGGATGTTTCTTAGAGGTTGCAGGCTGTTGACATCATTGAGGGGGAAAAACATGTACATTTAATCGACACGATTCTTCTTTGCCATCACCACTGATGTGAAAACAGAGGGAGCAGGCATAACTAATACGGTGCATGCCCTCTGGGAATATGCTTACATCTCTAGGTCTTTTATCTGAGCCCATAAGGAATTGAGGACAGCTATGGCAACACTTCATATTAATCCCATCCCTAATACAATCTACAGATTTATGAGGAAGATACTTATGATTTTTAGCAAACATTTGATATCTCCCTTTATTTATACGAACATATACTGTAACCTTGCAAATAGATAGTGGGAGGATAGTTGTGTATGTAAAGCTGCCTGCATACATATGCATCTAGGTCATCCTACAGATAATGTGCAAATTGAATCATTAAAGAAAAGCGATGCTTGGAAACAGAGCACGAGGAGGACCACAGTATAGCGGTTTTCAATTCTTATCCTATTGTAACAACACAAAGCAGCATCTAGGTACAGGTAGGATCATACAATAACATCTTGGTGATTCGCAACATTGTCAGGGTAATGAAGCATCGATTTCAAGTTTCTCCCTTGACTGGGTACCTAATCATCTCCTGCTGTACACACAGTACAGACAGGGGATACGGGCCAGACCACAGGTTTGTTGTGTTGACGAACATCCATGGTTAGAGTTGTGACAGCTCCTTTCTAAAAGCACTTTATTCAACTTGACCGTGGTGAGTGCGTTGAATATCTCCACAATGACCTACTTCTGTCTGAAATGCAAGTCTGGAGATGGAGAGAGGCAGGTATTGGTAAAGGGAGATGGAGATAGGGGTTGCTCCTGGAATCACTGCCTATCTCCGGGTATCTGCTGAGACACAGCAGAGCTCTAAAGAAACAAAAACAAATCTCCTCATCCAGCAGATATACACGTGGATCACATATACATAAATACTATTCACATATATCACCTTGAATTAGGATGCGTGTCATTGTTTTTATATGCTGTCGTCAAGGGCTAATTCATCTTACCTGTCAAAATGTCCTGCCTCTCTGGCTGCTTTAAGCTAGCAGATATATATCTATGCCTCTCAGACGGTCTGTTGGTGTGTGAGAGCAGCCAGTATGCTTCTGACAATGTTTCTCACACGTCTTCACACTGTTGGCCCACGCCGCCTGTCGCAGATGGCCGTGGGCTTGTCATGTTTTGAGGGAAACAACTGTTTTTGCCATCTCTGCTTCTCTGTGTCACATCGCTGTTTACATGCCTTTGGCTTCGGTCCCGAGCAAAGTACGGCCCTGCTGATGCCGGCCCTGTCATCTCAGACCAGCTATCCGTCTTTGCTGCCTGCTGGAGAGGGACATGACAGCTCAATAATTACAGTCTCAGCAGGGGTAGCGAGAGCAAAAGCAGTTGACTGTGATAGCATGATGTGTTACAGAAAATCAGTAAGCTGATAAATGGCGTGTCTGCTGCAGTCAAAATGTTGCAAATGTGCTCAGGCACAAACATATTTGTATGTGAAAGAAATGTGTGATGAGCATGTGGTCATCTTGAACAACATAAGGAATATTCAGTGGGTGAAAGTCATCACTATGCACTTGTGAAGCCAAGTGGAATCTGACTACTTCACAGTTTTTGTCTAAATATAGAGAGGGGGAACGAGGAAGAGGGACAGACAGGGACTGAGGGAGAGTGTCTAATGCAGTATTAACCAACCCCTCTGTGTTTCCTCCCCCCTTGACATCTCCTGCTCCCCTCACCTCCTTCTCCATCTGTGGCTCCCCTCTTTTTTCCTCTTCACCCACCACCCCTTCCATCTGCCCCCAACTCACTCCTCCTTCCCTCACTACTCATGCTTTGAGCCTTTATCCATATTTCCTGCATCCCCCTTCATAATTTGCTCACCCAACATATCCCCTTCCCCTCAATCCTTCTTCTTCTTCTTCTTCTTCTTCTGCAGCCACGCCTCTCAATTTCTATCCTCCATCTGCCCCTTCTTCTTGTCTCCCTCTCTATTTCCCCTGTGCCATCCACCCTCAGTGTTTTGCTGTCTCTCACCCTCTCTGGCGGCACCATATGTGCAGTGCTGGGCCGTGTGTGTGTGTGTGTGTGTGTGTGTGTGTGTGTGTGTGTGTGTGTGTGTAGCGGTGTGTGTCTCTGAGTATTGCAGCTAATGCTCCACACTTGGATATAAATAGGAATAATCACTGGAAGGACAGAGTGCATGGATGCATAGGAGGCACACAACAGAAGACCAGCAGCTATCCATAGGAATGTGAGCCTGTGTGTGTGTGTGTGTGTGTGTGTGTGTGTGTGTGTGTGTGTGTGTGTGTGTGTGTGTGTGTGTGTGTGTGTGTGTGTGTGTGTGTGTGTGTGTGTGTGTGTGTGTGTGTCTGTAAATGTATGTGTATATCTGATCTCATGTGTATGATCTTTCTTTTTACCTACAGTAACCAACTGCACCTACTTTAAGTTCTTCACCTCCGGGGACAATGCAGTCATATTCAAGAAGACGACTAACAAACGTGAGACATTTAAATTCCTCCCTGCAATTCCTGTCACACATGCAGATGAATTGCACGCTCACAGTAACAATGCAGCTTCCATCAATAAAGACGTTCACTGGGGTGCTCAGAGGACCGTGCTGGTGTTTTCTGCGTGTTTCAGCCCATTAACTTCGGCTGCCACCCATTTTCCTAAGCAACCATAAGCTATCAGACTGATTCATGTGTTTACCTTACCGTCCAGGCAGCCGCTGGTTTCAGTGCAATTTGAGGATCAACTGGCTGTGATTTGATAGCTGCATCACATTGAGCTTAAAGTCAACTTGAGCTTTTGGTACATGCTGTTAGAACAAACTGGCGTGCTTTGCATATTAAACCCAGAAGATATACAATGAGCAACGGTATTTAGTGATAATAAGCTAATGTCATCATACTGACATGCTAAACTGAGATGGTGTACATGGTAAACATTTACCTGCGGTCTGCGCATGAGCGTGTGTGCGTGTCAGTATGTGCATGTGTGTGTGTGTGTGGGTGTGTGTGTGTGTGTGCGTACAGTGTGTGCCTAAATACATCCCCACAAAGGCATGACGTTAGTAGTTGCTGTTTGGCAGTGAGCTCGTAGATGCCAGACAGGCACCAACAATAGAGACTCTTCAAAAATACTGCAGTGGATCCAACTGCATTAATGACATGTGTTCACACTGATGATTGATTCCCTTCGAGCTACATTTAAGTCTCTGCAGGTTATTTAAAAAATCTTATAGTCACACACTTGCTGATATGGGTGTTAAGGAAAACACATGTGAATTAGTCATAAAACTGGTTGACCAGATTAGACAGCTGTGTTGAGTTCACTGTTATTCATCTCACCTATTTTTGTTGGCTTCATAACAACCCACAACCTATATGTTGTATCTGCCGTGTTTTCATTAATATAATAATAATATCTGTGTGGTCGAGTGTGAACAAACACGAAACTGGCACTGGCTGCTGGGAAATGTTGATCGGCTACTTCAGTAGCATCTGTTCAGGTTTGTAATGCCAGTACAATCTGTTTTAAACAGAGCCAGTAAGGGAAGTGGCACAATTCACACAATGTGTGTTTTTTTTATAATGAAGTAAAATGAACTTTAATCCCAGTAGAATCGAACTTTGTGAGGTGGTGTTATATCTGATTTCACAATGCCTCTGCAGGCTTTGTTGAATATTTTTCACTGCATATATTTGCAGGTTTTATCAACACTTATTTTCACAAATGTTCACCTACTGTAGAGTATTCAATATATTCCTTTCTTTCTGCTTTTCTTAACAGAGCTGAATCTAGCAGCAGCTATCTTGGCCCTTTTGAGTCTGACCATGATGGCAATGGGCTCCATCTGTATCGGCATGTCCCTCAACAAAGGAGTGCCCTTCTTTCTCAAGCCAGCCTCCTTCTGTTTCATCCTATCAGGTGGGACCTCACATTCTAACGTATTACATTCAAGTATCCATACCTGACTGATGTTTGGCAAGATAATGATTATTTGGTCTTTATGAGTTGTTTGTGGATATTACGCAGTTATAGTGTGATGTAATCTGAACGTCCTCTCTGGTTGCAGGTGTGCTGGTCCTCCTGTCTGTCCTGATATTCCACCAGTCCGTGCTGGCCTTGCTGTCCAGTGATGACTCCATACCTTTACACTATGAGCTGTCCTGGTCTGTGGCCTGCGTCGGCTCCGCGGGAGGAATTCTTATTTTTGGAGGTTGCCTCTTTATCCTCCTCTCTCTTCCTTTCAGCCCCTGGGAGAAATGCTTTCCACACAAGAATAGCGTCACCTAGCACTTGAATGATAATAAAATGTGCACACAGTATTCTTGATGTATTGTTTGAGAGTGGAAAACATCCATTTTCTGAAGGCGGTGACTCTACTTATTCTCGACATTTAATTTGTCAGAGAAGTCATACAAGGTCTTAATCAAAATGTTTGTAGAGAATTCAGAAACACATTAGAAAGGTCTCCAGAATTTGAAAACAAATGTGTTTTAGTGGTTTTTTTTGGTAGAAATAGCTGGACATAGCAATTTTAGTTTAATGGTTTAATTTTAAGCTCTTTGTTGTGTCACACACATCTTGTTATCCTGTCTAAAGTTGTACGTCCACATACAAATATCTACTACAACTTTCTGTCAGCATAAGTATATCATAAAAAACCTTTTAAAGGCTCAAACACTTAAACGTTAATGCTAAGTATGGAAGCCCATTTCTGTCAAGGAAAAACAATTATGAATTAGATTGAAATTAGTTTATTTTTATTTTCTCTACACAGTTTTTGTGGCTCTACAAAACAAAAAACAGAGTTTCTGTTATAATTAATATGATTGCTAGACAAAGCTGTCTATCAAACTGTCTCTACTAATGTTGCTCTTCTTGAAAGGACATTCTTTAAGTTAGACACAATACACAAGAATGAGATTGTAAATCACAAGTGCGATTATATGACAAATAATGAAGATCAAATTACAGATGTCTCGTAAAAATGACTTAACATAAATATTTTGTTTAAAATTCATAAGGCACCACCAGAATCTATAACCATCAACTTAGCAAAAAATACTGTATAGTTTTGTGTCATATCTGCTAAATTATATATTGTAAAAAAATTCATATTCTAAGTGCTATGAAGCTTTTATACACTTACTACTTGTTAAAGAAGAGGCTTCATGCCAATATTTATAACTTATGTGTTTTTTTCAACAATTTGCTGAATGCTGCTTCAGTATGAATGTATGTTGAATGAAAGCAACTGTGAAAAGTGATTAAAATACCTTTTTGTATATCAGAGAATTGTATGGACTCACTTTATAAGCTCAACTTTGTACATAAACTGAATGAATGTGTTTATATTGTACGAATGGTCTCTGTTTGCAATGTTGTCTCCCGTCACTTTATATGTAATATGTATGCAATAAGTACACTTTAAATAATGTCATAGGATGCTCTCATTTTCTCTCTACCAAGAAATGCTATTTTACAAGTTTTAGGCTTATTTCTACTCAAATATATGTACATTATGTGGCGCCGGTTTTGCTTATCATTAAAGGGATTTGACATAAAATGATTTGCTGACATGACACTTTGTACGCTCTCAAACTTGTCATTCACCCATTTTCATCCCTTCAAAGTGACTCCTAACCTCTCTGCCAAACACCACCATCCCCCAAGCCTGCTCCTCTATAATTAGGCCAGTGCAGCTCATCGCAATGCATTTCGCTGCAGTGGTTGGGAAACCTTACCCTTGAATTTCAACTATGTTCCCCCAGCCTATACCCCGTGCCTTTTCTCTCTCTCTCTCTCTCTCTCTCTCTCTCTCTCTCTCTCCACCCCTGACCTTGTTGCGTCACTTTCCCTGCTGTCTCCAGGCCAGCCCACCTGTCACTACCTCCACACACACCTCGACCCACACCTGTGCCACACACACAACCACACACAAGACCGATCAGAGCCGAGATGTCCCACTAACATATCTAACACTTGATCTGCTGGTGAGTGAGTGGCATCCAGGCACCTGCACACACACTCACACATCCATTTAACTCTCAGTGGGCAGAAACTGAATCCACATGACACACTATCCTGGTTGTATATTTAGCTGTTAATAGTGCTACTGAGACTCTGTGACAAGTGGGGCACAACCAATAGCTGCATGTTTGTAAATGGGTCTCTTGATAGAAAGGGGTTTGCTTTGGCCACCTCTCATCCTTCCTCACTAAAGCTGGGCTGCATCACTGTGACTAAAACTAGACTGTGTAGGTATGACAATAGCAGGGAAAGGCACTCCAGATAATCCTCAGGGTCCCGAGCACCGCTAGTAATCTCAGGCCCCTTGTCAAGGATGTGACACTGCTTCCCTCGGCCCTAATGCATCTTAAGTACAATTTCTTGTCTCTGAAGGGACTCCCGCATCTTAAACCACACTGGAAATATTCCCACTTTCCTCCTTACAAGTGATCAACCCTGTGAGGTCAAGCAAAACCTAAAGTGGACCTGAAGGTACCAACGCCAACGGTTAGTCATAAAATGGTGCAATGATATCTTATGGAAAGTAATTTTGTTTTTTGTAATTTTCCTATTAATGTTTAGCAACATTAGACAACCCCGGAGCGCAGGACAACTGAAAAAAGTTGATCAGGTTTAAGAATGGGAATCGATCATGATCTTTGGTAAAACAGTAAAATACAGAAATTATGGGAATTTGGTTACTTTAAAAACAAGTCAACGTTTAATTTTGATTTCACACAGAACAAGAAATGCGGTCTCCTGGGTGAAAGTGTTGTCCTTTAAAACCCACCTATCCACCCTGACCTCATCCATGGTAAATGTTGTCGCTTTTTATAGACAACTACGTCACCTGTCATGGACAACTATTATGTGGGATTTATGGGAAATAAGTCAATGGTTTATCTTACAATTGGTGCATTGCTATTTGTAAGTATTACTACCAACAGTTAATACGAACAGCCAGAAGCACACTTTCACAGTACTTCATAATTGTTCATACAAAAACATGCATGAGGTACCAGATGGCCTATCAGTAAGAAAAATATGTGCTTAGGTAGTCATAGGAAAATGCTATGAATTAATTTGAGATGCTTTTCTCATTATCATATTTTACATACAGCCCATCTGGTGCTTCCCATTTATTTGCAAATATTATACAGGTCTGACAACAAAGGTCAAATTCTTTTTAGGATCACAACACATCAAAGATTGCTAAGAGACCTTGAGCAACTTAGAGCTATGATTTGTCCACTTAAGACAACATAGTGGTGGGAAGTGACTGAATGCACTTTATCAAGTACTGAACTTTAGTACAGTATTGTTTCTTTCTTTCTCATACTTTAAGTGTAGCATAATTTGTCCCTATACTTCTTGACTTAGAAATTCTCTGTAGACATGTTTGAGACAACTATATATTTTCTGGATTGAACTAAGATGACTATCTCAACTTATGAATCACGAACATATTGTATTTCAATATTTAAGTACAGGACACAAAGTCTTCTACTTCCCTGTAGAGTCTATGCTCAGAATAGGTTCAAGTGTTTATATCACGCTTGATCCGGTTGCATTTCAGATCACGATTGGCTACCAAAGACTTACCAATGGCTATGTACAAGTCTTCATTTGGTGAGTAGAGAAACTTTCAGCAACAAAAATGTGAAAGATAATTCTCTAGTGTCAGACTGCACAGATATTATTCTGTACAATGAAGATCAGCAATGTTGAGTAAAATAAACACATTCATTTAACTTTTAATGATAGTAAATGCTCTAAAGTTTGCTATTGCTATTTTAACTAAACCTGCAATAAGTGTTATTATTTTTTGAAATTGTTAGCAAAGAGATGTTTATCATCTAGCTGTTAGAAAGATACATCATCATCGTTTGAGGTTGTGTTTCTGCTTTCCTAATGATTTAAGTTAAATATTCACTTTCTTTTAGCTCTTTTTTGAGGTTAATATCTGTCTATTTAGCTGCTAAATGCTCCACTCCGTCCACTAGCATGTCGCTCACTGTGTTTGTGTGGGCAGTAAGTGTGACTTTAATGCTTTAGTTTTATGCTGAAAGCAGTTGCTAGTTTAAACCGAAAACAATGCGGATTTGAGTGAACCAAAACAGTTAAGATGTTGGCGGGAAAACTCGCTCTAAAGCTCCCTAAATCCGAGGGGAGCTGCAGAATTTAACTTTAAATACATTGTTAACAAATACATTTTAATTATAGCCACTTGAAGTAAATGGTCTGAATACTTATTGACTGTCGACAGATGCTCTTGAGAAAACTCAACACAGGTATAAGCTCACTCTGATCATCAGAAGAGACCCCATTCTTTTTTCTTGGCAAACAGAAACAAAAGACAGCAGTCTGTGTATATGTCTGTTATTGTTTTTTTTATAAACTTCGTGCAATACAGTGTTTAAGTTTATCACACATTTAGATAAACCATAATCATTTGTCTAGATATATCTATTCTCAACTACATACTATTCATATTGCCCACATAAATGCTATCTGTGTGCAGTTTTTAATCACATTATTCTTTTTTTCAAATGAAATCAAAGAAATGAAAACCAATAGAATCTGGAAGCGTCTCGTTGTTTTGTTTTGCTTCTTCATTATATCATGTAGCGGCGTGTCCATGGTTTCAACCCGGATCTGCAGTCACTCGGGACGTTTAGAAGAGAGTGTGGGGGGGGGGGGAAAGGGTGTAAAAGGGGACGGGACGGTAAAGTGTTTACATTCTCCTCAACATAAACAGATCGTGTCAGAGTTCAGACTTAAGAGCCGGGGGTCACAGGGGAAGCACAGTGAAAAGAATCTTTGGGGAGGTTTGGGGGGTCGTCTAGTGAATCTGTTCGTGGTCATGTGATAGAGTTGAGGAACGCTGATCATGTGACCAAATACTGGCGGGGGGGCTTGGGGAGCAAGTATGGCTGCGCAGGGTTAGAGGATGAAACCGTCCAACAAGAGTCCAGGGGGGGGCACCGGGAACAAAACAGCCCAAAATGCATACCCAGTTTGAACAGTGGTCCCGAAAAAACGTATCTATAGACTTTACAAATATATGTATGCGTAAATTACAATGTACATGTATCTTTTCAAAAGTTTTTCTCTATAGTGTTTTTTTAAACCCTCTCAACCCACATATACATATTGTCTTTTTTTGCCACTGAAAATGATGAGTTGCATGTCTCACTTTGGGACTCTTCATAGAAAAAAAATGATTAGGTTTTTAGTTTTTCTGCTCAGGCAGTAACCTTTACCTGAATCTGTACAAATGTATTATTCTATATCTCTTTTTTCTGCTTCCTCCAGTCAGAGGTTTCTGTTAATGCCCAAGAACAAACATCTTCAACACGACTATAGCTACAAGTACTACTGTTAACACTGATTAGAATGGAAATAAGACTAACAGAGGCCCATAGAAAACTCAGACTTATAATAACAATGACGTTGGTCAGTTTTCTCAGTCACTCACATTATTGTTGCATTTCTTTCAGTATCAATATTGGAAGACAATTTACAGTATTCAAATCTGAATTCATGTTATAAATGAAAATTATATAATATGGGGTAAAAAAATTACAGGCCCTCATTCTCCCACATATTGTGCACACTCATGCTTGACACTTTGACACAGTTACACACAGCTCACTGGCAGTCCAGCGGCTCTGCATGGAAGAAATTCACAGTAAAAGTCGTCAGATCGAAATCAGAGAGAAAGTAACATGAAAATTCAAATTTTCATTCCAAACTATAGTGTTTGCAAATACGGCTAGCCTGTAATAACGCTAAGAATAATCACAACAACAATTTTACATTAATGATGATCTGGTTAATTAGCAGTAATATTGCACAAAAAGTATGTGAAACATTTTCATTATAGCCCAAGGTTAATTGCGTTTGATCATTAACAAAATAAATCATTTCTAGCATGTTAAAATATCAAAATAGTTTTATTGTGAAATTTCATTGTTGTTGTTATTATCACTCTGTTATTACTCATCTTCTTTTTGTTCTCAGTGAGGTTGAGCAGACTAAGTAACAGTGAACATGGAGGGAGAGATTTCACTACCTGTCTGTCTATATATTTCCTGTTGAGCCACAGCGACTGCTCCTCTCTACCTTGACTCTTTCATTTCTACCCACTCTCCTTCTCTCCCTTCCTCCTCGCCTCCCCCCCTCAAACCCTCACTCTACACAGGCGTTGTCTTCCTATTGAGGGTGTTAGAGTTGCTCTCCCTGTCCCCCTTCAGCCTGTCCAGTGTCCCCATGCCTCGCTCCCTGTCTCCTGTGGACGAGGTGAATGGTGGAGGGCCGGAGCCCACTGAGTTGGGCATTGCCGTGTTGGAGTTGGAAGAATTGGAAGGGTTGTGGGACTTAAGAGAAGGGAGTGTACCACTCAACATCACCCCCCCTCCCCCTCCATCCTTTGGGAAGCAGTTGTGGAGCTGGTAGAGCGTGGCCCTGTCCACCGTTCCATACATGGGCGGCAGACCCCCCAGTTTGGGGTCGCGGGACAACGTGTAGAGAGAGATGTCACCTCCAGCCAGGGCCGTGTGAGAGCGAGAGTGGGGGTTTGGTAAAGTGGACACTGAGATGGGGCCCTGGGAAAGCAGCGCAGAGGGAGGCAGGCCGAAGTTTTTGCCCCCCCCCTACAGGTGAGGGGGTCTCGAGAGCGTGAGGGGTCGGTGGAGCGGGAGGAAGAGCGGGGAGGGCGGCGGCGGAAGCGGTAGCTGGGCAGGCGGAGCATGGCGTGCGTGGTACTCTTGAAAATGTCGGTGCGCGAGCGGCATCGCAGCTCCTTGTTCTTCTCGATGTAGATGTTGACAGCCAGCACCCCCACCATCTCTGCCATGATGAAGGACAGGCCTCCAAAGTAAAATGACCAACCGTAGGAGTACTGCCACTTCTTATCCTCGTCCTTCTTAGGAGAGATGTCCCCGAGGGCAGCTGAGATGTACACTATCACACCAATTATGTTACTCAGCCCTGAGGGAGTACAGAAATACGGTATTTATGAAAGAGCTAAATAAAGTCAGACAGACCAACTTACAGTACTAATAAACACATTTGTCTGACGTGATGATTTGTGACATCCCCAATAAAAGACAACTGGCAAGATGAATGTTGAATGTTAAACTCTCTGTTAAACTGACAGAATAGTCTAAACACAGCCACACTCCTAAACAAAGAACAAAGACTGTTAGGGCAAGTTGTATTCTCCAGACCACCACTTACACGCACAGCCACACACATTGTCTGTACACACAGTATTTCTGAGTTACCTGCAGCCACAAAGAGAATTCCAGCCCCGAGAATGATGTTCCTCTTGCTCTTATAGAACCGACTAGCAGCGATGCAGACCCCTCCCATCAGCAGCAGGATGGCACTGAGGATCGGGAAGATGTTGGAAGCCCTGACTACCCCTGAACAGAGGAGAGGATAATGGGGAACAGCAGGAAGTGGAAATGAGAAGGAGTGGAAATATTCTGTAAAGTAAATGGGACTAAATTCTAGATTTTCTTACAGTTTTATTATATAATATATATAATAATCACTTGGAGTAAATGTGAGCACACACTTTGACCTATTCTCTCGCCCAATAGTTACTTAAAGGTGGGGTAGGTAATTCCCTTCAGAAACACTTTTTGTTATATTCCATGGAATGCTCTTAACATCCCGATAGCAATGAATATATTAAATGCTTTGACAATAAATACATAAAAACATTTCATTTGTGGAAGCCGTGGTGCTGTAAAAAACATGACGAATTATTTTAGCTTTTTTTTTTTTTCGGCTGCGTACTTTCAAATTCTAGCGCACTCGAGCTGGTTTCTCCATTCTTACCTACCCTACCTTTAAGTAAATCTTGTACCCATTTTTCAAAGCAGTCACATATTTTCCACATAGGGCCTCATGCAGTTACATAACATAAAGGTGAGGCATTATCAGTACTTACACAATAAGAGACAAGAGTTGATACAAACAAAAATCGGAGGAAATGTGTTCTTATATTGCCTCGAGCACAAAGCCTGTTCTGACACTAAAATGGCATTTTTCATTATTATATTAGGAGTAAATTAAACTTTTTTAAGCCTGTGTCTGTCAACACTATCTTGAAAGATCAGGCCACACCGAGAGTTTAACGTTTGTTAAACTCACAATGTTGACATTACATTACATTACATGTCACTTGTTAGACGCTTTTATCCAAAGCGACTTACATACATTCAGTACTGTGGACAATCCCCACAGGAGCAATTTGGGGTGAAGTGTCTTGCCCAGGGACACAAAGTTCAGCGCACTAAATTCAGCGCACAAACCCACTGAGCCACAGCCTCACCAACAAGCTAACAAACACCCTATTCTCTTAAAGCTCAATATGGCTTTAAGTTGTCTAAATATCTAATCTAGGAAGGGTAAACAATGCTGCATACAATACTCCAATTTTCTTTTGTTGTAGAGCATTTTGATTGAAGTATGTACAGTAACAGAGCCTGCTCTATCAGTAACCGTCTTTGTCACCAAATAGAAAAAAAAGTGTTAAATAATACACCATAAACTTGATTAATACTAAGAGGATGCAGAAACATAGTAACAAAAAGTGACAATGGTAAAAGCTGCTCCATTAAACAATATACATAATACATTGTGAGGAAATTCATTACTCAGTTTTAGACATACAATCGAATCAAACCCCTCCCCATGTGGCCTTCAGTGCTTTCAGCAGGTCTGCCAACCATGCAACACACATACTGACACGCACACACACACACACACAACACACACACACACACACCACACACACACACACACACCACACACACACACACACACAACACACACACACACACACACACACACACACACACACACACACACACACACACACACACACACACACACACAGCACACACACACACACACACACCCACACACCACTCTAGCACTCTGCTCTCATCTAGAACAACTAGGCCATGGGAGAGAAATGCCACCTAAATGCCAGCAAAATGCCTCTGCAACATTGTAAACAGAACACAAGCCGTTCTTTATGTATGCACAGGCACACATGTAGCATATCATGGATAAGAAAATATCACTGCAGGGCATTGAGAACGAACTAGGGCACCCCATCTCCCCTGACTTCCTGTGCACAGTGTTACATGTTTATTTCTTGCAGAGATAATCTTCTGCCTCTTATTCATAAGCAGGCTTCTCTCATTCATTCATCATCCATGCCAAGTAATGCTGATATTGACTTACGTAGGACGTACTCTGCCCCGTCATGGTCAAAGTCTGCATCTTCTGGGAAGTGGTTTTGATTTGAGAAACACACTCCTCTCTTTACTCCTGAGGTTTGAGAGGAAAAAACAGTGGGTGACCAGACCACAATAAAACATAAATCATAGCTGTGTAACCTTAGGAAAAGAAACACATATCCTTCTGAGGGACAAACTAGAGACCTAAACACAGTCATATCTTTGTTAAACTTCCACTTACTGCATGCAAGTTAGTAACATCACACACATATAGTAAACACACACACACAACATAAATAAATGCAGACATAGGCAGACAAATAAGTACCGTCGGGGTCTGGTATGTAGACAGACAGACGAACGGAGGGGTGCACGCACGATGATGACAGCACACCACTGTTGCTGATGGATGGAATGTGAGGAAGATGAATGGAAGTGATGGAATGAAGAGACACAGACGGAGGGAGAGACGGACAGATGTGGGGTGAGCAGGTCTCTTTCTCACAGCTCTTATATTCCTCCACATGGTTATTCTGTAAAGAAACCGGAGGTAAATCAGTTGAGGCACACAGATCAGTGTTGTCATCAGGAGCTTTAGGTGCCCTTCATGCATTTATCTTTGAGACATTAGTGTACGTTTGGCAGATTTCCTTCAGTTCCTAAAAACAAGGAATGATCACTGAATCCCTGCACCTGAAACATGCATCTCTAACAGCTTCTCATTAAAAGACGTACATTTTATGTGGACCTATTAGCTTGGTTATTCTGTGTTATCCTCGCAATAAAAAAATGGGATTAAATAAGCGATTTAAGTGTGTTCAGGTTATAGTCTTGCCTGAAAGCATGGGGTTGAGTCCCATTTTAACAACATCCACCTTTATATAATCAAAATAATTTCATTAGTATTAGTATTTCGATAGATATCCTGTTAATAATAAATATAAGGCCTGACACATGGTGTAGGGTGAAGGGGTGCCAGATCTCAGCTGACAGAGTTGTGGGGGTTGGTTATAAATGAATAAAGAAATGTTCTATTAAAATGAGAAATGGCCGACAGGTAATTCAGGGCAGCCCCACCTTCAGTGAATCTGCAGAAGGGCTGGAGAGGAGGACAGGACACATCTCTATCCACAGCATAATGTGCCACCCACCCACGGGCATAAATCTTTTAGAGCTAGCATGTCCTGCATTTCTACTCCAGCTACACCTCGCTGCACGACTACTGAGCATCTCTCTTGGCTGAATACTCCACAGACATCAAGGATACTTGACCTCTAAGCCATGCCAAGACACTGTCAGCTCTGCTGCACCGCGATGGGGTAGAAAAGACCGCAAGAGAGGAAACTATGAGGGGGGAAACGGAGGAGAAACCAGTGAAAGACTAAATATAATGTTTGGGGGAGTGAGACAGAGGGATAGCAGGCGGAGAAACTGAAAGAGTGAGGCGACGGAGGGAGTGGGTGGGGGTGCACTGCAGCAGTGCTGCAAGGGCTCGAGCTTATCTCTAATTGGCTGCTTTGCTATCAGGAAGCTTAGAGATGAGGACAAATTAGCTTTGTACGATGACCAAGCCCAGGATGGGCCGCGGATGCTTTATAAGGAGAGCCAAGAGGTTTTCCTGGAGACAGAAGTCTGTATGTGAGCAAAGGCACAGATCACTAAATCACACCACCCCTTTGTCTGTAGCTGCTTCACTGTTAGCTCCATCACAGCCCTTACTGTGGAGTGTTAGCCAGGCCGTGTAATGTATAATGAATTAGTAGCTTGTTTTGCAGTGACAAGCTGAGGATTGAGAGATGGCCTATGCCAGTTCCTGTAGCTTCCGCCACTCGGAGTGAGAAGTTGATAGGCGTCGGGTGAATGTGGGCCTTTTGTTTCAGCACTTACATTAAATGACTGTACTGCAGCCGGAATCCAACACAATGATTAATGGATTATTTTGAGTGAGGGTTACGCTTCAGTATCATGTAATTATACTGCAATTATGCTGAATTGTTTTCTTGTCATTATGGTACGGTCTAACAAATACAAATAGATTGTGTATGTGTTACTGCTAATGATTACTGATATCACAGCAATGCAGCAGCTTTCGGAACGAAGTGTCCGAAGGTCAAGTTAAAGACGAACACTGCAGAACACACTTATACTGATTCTGCTTTGCAACACAAGGAAAACAAGAAATGACAACACATGGTGACTGATGGAAACAATTAAAAGCTTTGACATCGCCAATATATTAACACTCCACATTATCCAGTGCCTCCCACTCAATTTTGACGAGACAAAAAGACAAGAGCTTGTGAATACATCAAAGTCTGAATACAGAAATCTCTACATTATTGTGTGACAATCTGAATTATTCTACAAGTATAATGGGCAATAACTCCCCATTCACCCGTACCTTACATTGTGAAGTTAAGACTAGAAAGAACACTTGAAGGAATAGTTGAGAAATATGGGAAATAACTTTAATGTCCTGAGTTAGAAGAGAACATTGATACCACTCTCTGTAGGTAGGCCTAGAGTAAATATTGAGCTTAATTTAGCAGCTGGTTAGCTTAGCTTACTACACAAACTGCTAACAGGGTGATGCCAATTTGGACTTTTTTGCGAATTTTCATTTTTACAATTCAGTCTTTTTACGGATTTAACAAATAACAAACCACAAATAAGATATAACATGTAGAGCTTTAGAGGTGCTGGTACTGTGGGACAGGAAGGTGGTTTCCTCCTGTTTCAAATATACACGCTAAGGTCAGCTGAATTCACTCATATTTATGTCATCACTTACACTGCAACAACAGCAAAAACATGAATATGTATTTCTTCTATCTTCGAAGGATTTATTTTCCCTGCTCACCTTCGGGTCCCTACAGTTTAGTCCGACTACATTTTGATTAATTATATACTAACAAGTTTATAAGTAACCAGAGCTGTGCTGCCAGATCCTGTATCAGCTTTCACTGCAGCCTCCTCACTGAACTCAACAGCCTCAAACAAAGCAAACCTATTCCAGCATGCATCCCCTTCAGTCCAAATCACACCCATAGACCTAAAATATCTCCAACAACTTCTTCTTTACCTTCCAGGCAGCATATCCTCCACAGTCCAGAGTGGGTGAGCGCCCCGGGATCCTTCTTGTCCTTGTTATGGGGATCCTCCCCCGTAACATTGGCTGTGCTGTTGCAGATCATGGCACGGGAGTACAGCCAGTAGTCCGTCCCTATTGCCCACCGTCATCA